TCTCTTGGATAGATCTGTAGGAATGGAATTGCTGGACTATATGATCTATTTGTAGATCTTTGAAGAACCTCTACATTGTTCTCCACAGTAGCTGGACTAATTTACATTCCCACCAACAGTGTAGGAGAGTTCTCTTTTCACCATGACCCCACCAGCACTTACTATCTTTTGTCTTTTCTTATTTTAATCTTAGTCATTCTGACTGTTTGTTTTTCTTATTTTAATCTTAGTCATTCTGACTGGAGTTAGGTGGCATCTCATTGGGGTTTTGATTTTCATCTCCCTTATGGTGAGGGATGTTGAGCATTTTTTCATATGCTTTTTGGCTGTTTGTATGTCCTCCTTAGAGAGTTGTTTATTCAGCTCATTTTCCCATCTTTTAATTGGGTTGATCTTTTTTTTTTTTTTTTTTTTTGGTAAGCCACTTAAGTTCCCTGTGTATTCTGAAGCATAATTTACAAAAAATATTCTCCCACTTCAAGGGTTGCCAATTCACACTAATTACTGTGTCTTTAAAAAAGAAAAAAATGTGTAGGAGGGGACAGCTGGTGGCAGAAAGATAACACAGTGCTCTGCAATGCTAGACCTACACGCAAAAGTCCAGAGTGTCCGATGCAAAGTCTCCCTGTACAAGATGGGCACACATGATCCCATAATCCCAGGTCCATAATCCTGATTGACTGAGTCTGGGAGGTGGATTGTGGCATGAAGACCCTATTAAGGGTGTCTGTTTTTCTCTTTATCTCAGTGTCTCTCTTCATGTATGTCTCTCTTTGTGTGTGTGTCTGCCTCTCTCTCTCATGGAAGAAATAAATAACGTAATAAAAGAGGGATATATATATATAAATGGCTTGGGATGAGGGTGATTGTGACAGTTATGTTCATCCTTTGAATCTGTAATGTTCTGTTATCCTTTCCTTCATTTTGTTTCCTTGTTTTGCTAGCAATAATTAATTACCAAAGCAAACCAAGAAGCCACTTTCTTATTTTAGGAGAAAAGAAGTGCTGGAAACTGGTTTGCTGATAGTGACATGAGGGCAAAGAGTCCTCTGGGCCCACACACCCAAGTAAACCAGAATTCTAGGCTGATTTCCAGGAGAATGATGCAACTTCAGCTCAGTAGTTCTCAGACTTTGGGATTTTTGCCAGAAAAATTGCAAAGTGGATTTGGAGGGCTTAGATGTAACTCTTCCAGACAACTCCACCCCTACTATTATAACCATTATTTCATAAAAGATATGACTTAATTCCAGAAAAAGGGAACGGACACAGCCTTAATAAATATAATCTTTTAAATCAATAGAAGACAGTGTTATGACGACTTATATTTTTCTCTTTCTCAGTCTGATGGACCTAATTTCCTTAACTTCTGCAGTCTGGTAGATATTGCCTCTGTTGGTGAATCACACCAGAACAACAAATGAAAAACAGCTGGCAAGCTTTTTGAAGAGACAGACTGTAGGCTGTTTATGTAGCAGAAAATCTTGGAGAACTTCTTTAGCTGGGAGCTGTCTGATAGAGTCTTTGGCTCTTCTTGGGGCCAGTGGGTGATGTGGTAGTTGGGGTGCTGGACTCCCACATGGCTGACTGGTTCGAGTCCTGGACCTGGGGACTTGCTTTCTCACTTTCTCTCTGGTGAGTGTGTGTGTCCTATAGCAAATTAAGTAATAAAATAATGATATAAATAAAATAAAATAAATAATTCTTAAAAGAACAAAAAAAGAATGCTCTTCTGCCCTGAGTTATTCTAGGTCCTTCAGAGCAATGATCTTAAACCCCTAAACTGGGAGGGGACTTGTTGGCATGATTATTTTTGTACAACTGACACATATTCTGTGATCGACTGATCTTTAGTCAGGCTTCTGAACCTTTTCCTAGGCCCAGCTGTGCAGTTCATGTATAATGCTGTTTTAGCAAAGAGCTCTGCTAAGTCAATTTAGCAAGAATCTGCCACCCTCCATATCTAATCACCCTCAACATCTGACATCTGATATGTTCCTCATCCTTCATTGCCCTCCAGCTGATGTCTAAGTATCTGGCCTGTGTTCAACAAGAATCCTGTTAGTTCAGTTTAACCAAAATCCCCTCACCCCTGTTGTTTCCTCTTACTAACTTGCTACCCACTGACCCCTGCCCTGATTCTAGGCTATACGCTCCCATTTGCCTGGGCTGTATTTAGAGTTGTACCCCAACTGCCTCTCTCACTGCAAGACCCCATTGCAGTGGTCCCTATACCTGTGATGTTGGCCTAAATAAAGACTTACTGTGCTTTAACAAGTATCATTGAATATTTTTTTCTTTATAATACTTGAAGAGTTTGTCAGTTGTTGGGATTATTTGTTATGGTCTCACCTGGATAAGGGATGATTAATTACCTGGTTACAAATTACCTACACATGTCTTGGTATAGTTTGAGTCATCGAAATTCTGGGTAGGTCAACCTCCCTCAATTCTGGACAGGAATACCAAACCCCATTTCCAATATGACATTCCCAGTGGTAGGTTTGCCTTAGGAAAAAAAAAGAGATATCTAAGTGAAATTACATGAGTTTTATGAACATGAAAGAGTTCATTTTATGCATGGTTGAATGCCTGGGGTTCAGGTGAAGTCAGTGGCATTCAATTAATACCTGATGAACCTGGGGCATTTTTTCCCATGGGACATTTAAACAAGTGAGTTGTAAATAGAGTTAGAGAGTAGAATTATCAGTTCATAATTTCAGAGGGAGAGCTTTCTGGTGAATGAAAAACCCAGACGTGAGGAAGGGAATTCAGACACATGTTGTAACATGAATGAACCCTGAGGACATTATACTGAGTGAAATAAGCCAGTTGTAAAAAGACAAACATGGTATGATTCCACTTATATGAAGTATCTAGAGCAAGCAAACTCATAGAGACAGAAAATAGAATGGTGGTTTCCAGGTGCCGGAAGGAAGGGATAATGGGAGTTATTGGTTAATGGGTACAGGGTTTCAATTTTGAGAAATGAATAGAGTTCTGGAGACGGATGTGGTGATGGTTGCACTGACAATATGAATGTGCTTAATATCACTGAACTATACATTTACAACTGGTTAAGATGGCAACTTGGATCTTATTTGTATTTTATGCCATGTGCATTTATGTGTATTTTACCATGATTAAAAATAAAATGGAATCCAGATGTGACTGTAGGTTGCAGAAAACTTTCAGAGGTAGAAGTCCTGAGAACAATAACAGGCAAGAAGAGGAGAGGAGCCTAAATCTGACATTGCTAAGGGGAGTGACTGGGAGGCTGGTAGAAGACAGCCGGGAGAGGAGAGGGTGGCATTGTGGGGTGGCCTAAGGATCAGGGGAGCAGGTTTTGCAAAAGAGGAGTGGTGGTCTGGATGTTATGATGAGGAGTGAGGAGGACTCCTACTCCACTTAGGCTCTACGACATGTAGGAAGTGAGGAAAGATACAGCACCAGTTGAGAAGTGGCAGGAGAAACAGTCCCTTTAAGGAACACTCACATTTCAGTTAAAGCAAGGAAACCCAGCATATCATTTCTCAAGAAGAGACTGAACATATCAGGATTTCCCAGAGCCCACTGGGTGGTGGTTTTGGAGCACTTGGTTCAACAGAGAATTTGAGTTTAGGAGAATCATGTGACTTGATTGTCTCAATCTTTTGGTGTGGAGATGTTATGCAAGGGGGTGAGCGGCTTGATGAGGGTCTGGAAGTAGGACTCGAGCTTGGCCCTACCAGTATCCTTCTAAAGGCTCTGCTTTGAGAAGGGGAGGGCATTTAGACTTTGTGGTAAATTCAGTGGTCCCAGAGGGCTGGACACAGGGGCTGCTACCTTTCATTCTATACTCACACCAGATAGCATGACTTGAATGTGGCATACTTTCCCAGTGAACTCAGACATGAACTTAGACCTCTCCTCAACATAATTCTCCAGAGACCCAAACCAGAAATGTATTTACCAGCTCTGAGCTAGGCCTACACATTTATGTTATGGACAAGGAAACATGACACATGAGAGGACAAGTGATTTCCCCAGGCCAAACTGGGACCCAAATTCAGACTTCCTATTTTCCAGGCCAATGTGCCATGTCTGCTAGTAACAAAGATTCTTTGGTTGGCCAAACTAGTTAGGCTTCTAAATTTTCTCCAAAGACCATTTATATACCTCCTTGTAAAATCCAGTTTTGGCAAAGAACCCTGCTAAGTCAGGTTAGCAAGAACCTCCATCTGAGTACCTGGCCATACTTGACATCTGACCAGGTTCCTCATCCTCCAGGTAATATCTAGTTGCCCTGGCATGACTTCATCAAAAATCCTGCTGAGTCAGCAAGAATCCAGTTGGCTTCAGCCAGAATCCCTCCAACCCTGATGTAACTTTTCACCTGCAGACCCTAACCCCGCTCCTTGACTATAAACTTCCACTTGCTCATGCTGTATTTGGAGTTGGTCTTGAATAAAGTCTTCTTTATCATGATTTAACAAGTATCATCGAATAATTTCTTTAATGCTAATTCAGGGATGAAGGGCTGAGCATTGGGCATCACTCAAGGTTAGTGCTAGAGAAGAGGCAGGTTTGGAAACAACTTATGAGAGAAAAGAAGGGTGAGGGTGAGATGGCGAGAATAGAAAGGCTCTGCATTTTTAAATCTACCCTTGGGGCTGTGGAATGGGTAAGGCCTTCCCTTTCCTCTTCCCAGAAAGATGAGAAGCTCTATGGCATGTGGGTAGACCAGTTAGACTTTCTGTACCAGGACATTCTGAAAAAGGGATTAGACGGAAACGGTGGAGAAAGTGCTGAGAATGGTCTGGACTGGTATAAGCCAGCCTCTTTCCTTCCTGACTGGAAATATAAAAATCATGGAATTAAATACAAGAAAATCTCTTCTCAGGTCTTCAGCGGTGGAAGAGGGTAGTCAGGACAGGGACACTTAGGAAACTTTACACTGCCGAAAAGGGAAGCTTTTAGAGAATCATGATATGTGAAGTTTTGCTTTGTTTTTCCTTTAAAAAAAAATGGAATGCTTCATGAATCTGCGTGTCATTCTAGCACAGGGGCCATGCCAATCTTCTCTGTATTGTTCCAATTTTAGTATATGTGCTGCTGAAGCAAGCACTGTTTTCCCTTTCCCAGAGGACACATGCATCAGAGAGAGAAAGCACTTCCCAGTATGGCATGGTCACACCGCAATCTCTTTCCTTTTATTTCTCTATCCTATCAGGATTTGGGGCATGCACACATATACATGTGCACGCACATGCACACGCCCAAAATGTTTTTCAAGCTACCAGGGCTGAGATTCAAACCTCAGTCAACCATATGGGATCTGGCTCACAAAGCAAATCACTTATCCATTGTGCTACAGGGCTGGCCCATGATATGTGAGTTCTCTGTGTGGTTGAAAATAAGCAGGACTATCTGGGATCAATTTTTTAAGTCTTCCATGTCCTCTAACTTTGAGTAGTCTCTGGATTTCTTGGGTTTCTGAAATATCCTGATCAAGAAACTTTCCTGGGTTTATCTGGTATAGACTTTCAAAACTGCCCCAGGGGTGCAAAGTCATAGGGAGTTCAACACCTTGGAACCACTCTAACCCCTGATCTCAGAAGCTAGCTAGACTCAGCTCTTCTCTCTCCACCCCATTTCTCTCCATTCTATTAGCTTTAAAGTCCATTCTAGTGCAAACATATATCTTAACAAATCCTGGTGAAAAACTGTATAGCCTCTCAGGAGGCATCCAGGTACTCTGGAATAATTGTGGATTCCTTTGTATCCATGTGGCCAATGTTGAGTACATGGTGTATTTGCATCTAGTGGTGGTTGTGCCTAAGGGCTTCTTTCTCCTAAGGATCTCTAACCTTCCCATCTCATCCTCAGGCTGGTGTTAGGGGCTGAATACCTTCCTCACCACTGACCCTTCTTTCCCCCAGCTCATATGTTGAAGTCCTAACCTCAGAATGTGACTGAACTTGGAGTCAGGGTCTTTAAATGAGTAATTAGGTAAAATGAGGTCATTAGAGTGGGCCCTAATCCAGTCTTACTTATGTCCTTGTAAGAGGAGGACATTAGGACACAGACATGCATGGAGGGACATATGAGAGCAAAGAGAAACCACCTGTCAACTAAGAAGAGAGGTCTCAGAAGAAACTGACCCTGCTGAGACCTCAATCTCAGACTTCTGGTCTCTAGATCCATGAGAAAATGAATTTCTGTTGTTGAAACCAACAGTTTGTGGCTTGAGTTGATGAACCATGTCTAAGAATGTTGTGTTAAGTGGGCAGAGGGATATTTCTTAGCACATGTCCATCTATGGCAACCACAGGGCAGGCTGTGTAGCCTGGAAGGGCTATAGGCATGAGCACTCTGTGGAAAGAGACCAGTTATTCCCTGACCTTTCTTATCCCCACTGAATAGTTTGTCTCCTGAAATGTGCAGTTAGGTGACATGGAAAGCTCAAGGGTCAGAAACAGGTGTCCTATTCCTGACTACCTCGTTCCCCGTTCTCTGAGATGAGGAGGGGTGAATGGCTGTCCTGTCCCTGACATCCTTACAATTTGGATGCCCTACACAACAAAACCATGGGGCCAGCAAGTGGCATAGTGATTAAGGGTGCTGAACTCCCACATGGCTGACCATAGTTTGAGTCCTAGACCTGGGTGACTTGCTTTCTCGCTTTCCCTCTCTCTCATTCTGTCTCTTTCTGGTCAAATTTAAATAAATAAATGAATAAAGTTAAATAAAATAAATCTTAAAAATAAATAAATAAGTAAATAAAATAAAACAAGAGACTAGCAGATGGCATCATGGTTATGTTGCTGGACTCCCATGTAGTAGATGACGATTAGAGTCCTGGACCAGGTGGCTTGAAACTCATGCTGGGCAGTGTGTGTGCGTGCGTGCCCAAAACCTCAAGAAGAGAAAGGAGGAGAAGGGATTGCAACGTGGCCACTCCCCTAAAGGGTGATTTCTCACTTTCTGTCTCTCTCTCTGACAAATGCATGCACCCTATAGCAAAAACCTCTCTTAAATTAATTAATTAATTAGTTTAAAAATGTAGCTTATTAGACTATACAAAGCCACACAGGCTTACGGCAGAGCTCAGGAATCTTCAGTCCTGCCCAGAGTTGCCACAGACACATGCGGTCTTAGGCATGGCCCAGGGGATAGGGATGAATTATTCACGTAGGAATAGAAGTTTCGGGGCTGGACCTGAGGAGGCCCCGAGCGGGTGAGCAGACAACCTGAGCCCGTTTCCTCAGCCTGAGTAATGTAGCCACTGCGTCTTCATCTCTACAACTGGCTGCTATCCAAGCCCGGAGCACAGTAATGAGTAATTGAGCTTCCTCTGAGGGGGAGGAAACAGTTAACAATCTTGCCACAGCTGCAGTCATCTAGGCGTGGTTCTCTTGTCTAACTTGGGCTGCACAGATCCTGGGCCAAGAGGCGGAGGAAGGACAGCTTAGGCAGCAGAGGTTCCCAGATGGCGGAGCTGGATCTGATAGTCCCAGAGCCGCTGCCTGGGACCACTGCTCACCCTCTGGCCCCTCTGAGCCTGGGCTCTGGGTCAGCTAGCCCACCAGAAGAAGAGGATGTGGAGAGGACTGTGGGAGAGACAGTGGCACGGTGTAATGGCTCTGCAGGGCAAGAAACTCCTGGCAAAGACGGGGAGGAGGAGATCCCATGTGATTTCTGCCTTGGGTCTAGCAGAGTGAGGGCAGTGAAGTCCTGTCTGACCTGCATGATGAATTACTGTGAGGAGCACCTGCGGCCACATCAGGAGAATAGCAAACTGCACAGTCACCAGCTGACCCAGCCGGTGAAGGACCATGACCTGCGCACCTGCCCTGCCCACCACAGCCCGCTGGTGGCCTTCTGCTGCTCTGATCAGCAGTGCATCTGCCAGGAGTGTGGCCAGGATGAGCACAGGGGCCATTCCATGGTCCCATTGGATGTGGCCCACCGGGACAAGGAGGTGAGTGCTTACTTAGGTTCATCCTTTTAGAAGAGTGTAGTGGGTGGTGGTGTCCCCAAGGAGAGGCCAGCCAGCTGTAGCTCCCAGGTCAGGTCTGCCAACCTCACTTCTGTGCTCTGAGTGCACAGAGAAAGGACTTCAGCCTTACGCCTAGCTGTTGGGTCAGTGTAAATATAGATTGCTCTGGCATTGGAAACTGTTTGAAGTAGGTCACAGTATCCCCATCTCTGTCCCACGGTCCCTGTGCTACCTATCTCCTGCTTGCTAGTTTCTAGCTATTTTTCATGTAGCTCTTGGTGATTGATGTGTTTGGCTGTGGGGTACAGAAGTTGTGAGGTTTAGGGCGGATACCTGGATCTGCATGGTATATCTGCAGTTAGCTAACAAATGACAAATCTTGGCAGAAATTCAAGAAACGAGAGTAAGCCTTTTCCCTAGTTTCTCTTTGTCCTTGTTACCCTAAACAAGAGGCCAATAGAAAGAGCCCCTCTGAAGACGACTGGTATGAAATCCAGGAGCCTGAAAAGTGCTCAGATAACATAGACTTTGAAAGTCGCCTCTGGTATAATGTCAGTGATGGCTTAATTTAGGGAAATGAAAAGTTCCTCAGCAGAGAGAGGGAAAAGGAACAGAAACACCTTGCTCAGAGCCTGTCATGTTACTTCCATCAGATAAGGAAACTGCTTCTAGAACAACGAGCTTTTCTTTGCCCTAAAGCTGAGTGCCTAGAGAAGTTCTTGGAGATTGATTTAGCAGTTGTATATGCTTTGTTTCTCTTACTTGGACTTTCGGTGAGCACTTTTTTTTTTTGCAGCATGGAAGTATAGTTGACTTTTGTTCCACATTCTTTATGTGGATACTTTATGAGATTTCCTATTTGTCCTGCACATGGCCTGGCGTGTATAGGCCCACAGTGATTGTTGGCAAATGTTCCTGGGCAGCCATATGAAGAAGCTTCTAGGAAAGGGGATTTAGTTGCCAGGGTCCCTCCTCTACACCACTCCCCAAACATAGATTCTATTTAATACTAGTGGGAATTGTTCTGGAAAGCTCTGTATGACAGATGTCAGTGAGTCACTGTTTCCGGCCTGGGGAAGCCAGCTCTTTCCAGTGTTCCCAATGTGGGGGAATGTCCTGTCAGGAGAGTAGGGAGGTCACCAAGTAGATCAAAGGGGAAAGCACCACGCATTTGAGGAAAACAGCCTTCGTTGAGTATCATCACGTGTTCAGTGCTTGCTATGGATTTTCTCATCTAGTGCTCAACTAACTCTATGAGGTGGGAACTCACTCCATCACACTGCAAGCTTATCCAGGCAACTGTCATGGTGTAAGGAATGGGAACTTCTGGAAAGTCATCCTGCTAGAAGGACATAAAGCAAGGGTGCCAAAATCACAAATTAATAACCTTATTGATTGATTGGTTGATATTACACCCAAAACCTGCCATGTATGCCCCCACATGAACTGTTAAGACAAAGCATTCTGTTTTTCGATTTGGGTATAACATCTGAATTTTCTTATTTTTAACTGGAAAATTGATGCATGAAGATGTTAAAAAGCAATTGCCACCAAAAATTGCAACAGATTTTACTAGAGAAAAAGGGTCTCCAGGCCATCTCACATCCCTGCATCTCCCTTCTCCCCTCAGCAGCTCTCACCCTCTTATTTCCTTTCAGAAGTACTCTAAGCCTGGGCCAACACAGGTAGAATATAGTTCTAAGTAGGGCCCCTTGTATATTACAGAGACTCAGAGTAACCGTAGTTCTCCAATTCAGACATTCTAGGACAGAACTATGTGAGGTAAAATAAGGACAACGGGGTAATGGGCTCTAGGGCCATTTGTGCTGAAAAGCAACCATGGCTATAGGTGTGGGTTTCAGCCCCAGACCTTGTGACCTTGTGCTTTCTAGTTTGCTTAGAGAGCTGTTGTCCTTACCATCCTGTGTCCTTGTTTTCAGCTCAGAGAGCATGTTTGCTCTGTAAGTGCAGACACACTTCAGGTGCTTCCATCGAATCTTAGGAGCCAAAAGCTTTCTTGCAATGAGCCCAAGAGACCAGTCCAAAGGACTTGGTAATTTTTCAGCCTCTAAAAGTATTATTTTTAAGTGTTACTAGACATAGCTAAGGCTCCAGAAGCCCAGCATTCCCTTCAGCTAGCCCAAACCTGCTAGAGCCACTTGCTAAATGTCACTTTGAAGCATGTGACCAAAACTAATTACTCAGGCAAGCATGCTGTGTGCACAAAACTGCAAATGGCAGGGTCACCCCTGAAGATACTGAGCAGCTGAGATCGGAGTAGCGTGCACAGGGTGACTTATTTCTCAGTTAACCAGGTGTTCTCTCTCTGAAACTCCCATGGTTTCTAGCTGTGACAGTGAGCCAAAAACTCTGGGCTTTGAGGGGTGGGTGTTCTTCAGTTATTTGTTCTATCCTGCTGAGCTTCGAGAGTCCGGCTATTCCTAACAGCGATCTAAGAACCTCCTTCTTTTTTTTTTTTTTCTTAGAGATTTTCAGGATAGGACTTTACTGCCTTAGGGTGCATGCACTCACTGGAGAGAGAAAAACAGAGACAGTGAGAGGGAAAGTGAGAAATTACTTTCCAAGGGGGATAGCTATGAATCAGTCCCTTCTCTTCCATTCTCCTCTTGGGATCTTGGGCATGCATGTTCATGTACCTGGTGTGAGTTTTAAGTCACTGGGTCTGAGACTCGAACTGCAGTCGGCAATGTGAGAGTCAACAACATACCTGTTATGCCATCTGATAGCCCCAGAACCTCTTTTCCATTGAAAATAAATAAATAAAACTTATAAACTTCACTCAATTGAGTTTAATTTGCATGCAAGCAAAGTCCTGAAGAACTTCCCTTTGCCTTAGCCTCCTTAGCTTTCCAACGAGGCCCCTTTGGTCTGCAGATCAGCCAGTCTTACCTGCCAGCCGCTAATGCATCTCATTTTTCTGACTCTCAGACTTGCTGTCTTGAAAATGAGACTCTTTGTGTGTTTGTGTACTTTGTAAAATTTGGAATCCTCTTGTGACCATCTTCTCTGTTTGTTCTGACTCATGAGATTTATGTAGTTCTTTCCTGTTCTTTGGGTGTATCAAAAGTTATTGAAAGCCAGCTCTATAGCCTAGTGGATTAGGGAGTCAGATCCCATATCTGCAACTTGGAAAACATTCTGGGAGCATGTCCATGGTGCCCAAAATTCTGATGGTATTGAGAAATGAAGGAAAAGGGACTGTGGAGTGACCACACTCCACTAGGGGAATGCTTTCTCCTCCTTCCCTCTCTTTGTCACTGTCTGGCAAATGCATGCACTGTCTGGTGGTTCAAAACAAAACAAAACATTATTGAGTGCTTCGCATGGACTAAGTGCTAAAGTCACATTGCGTACCCTCCAGGAGCCTGGACTTTAAACAGGAAGCCAAGGCACATACGTTGCTCCATGGAGTTTCAAAGGGCTGGCACAGTGAACAGCAACTACAGTGGTTCAAAGGAGGGATTCGTCCCTGGGATTCAGGTCAAGGCAGGATTCTTGGAAGAGGAAAGACCTGAGAAGAGCTTTGTCTTAGATTTTTGAAGACCACTGGTGCCAGGCCCCTACATTCAGTCTCAGCATTAGTTTTAGAAAACTCAGAACTAGATGCTGACTACAAATCTAATCTCCAGAGTCAGTAAGAGTCGAGTGTCTGAGAGCTCAGGTATTTGTGCTTGTGTGGGAGCAGCCTATCAGCATTGCTCAGTCTGTTTGTTGGTGACCAGAAGATGGATGGCATGTGGCTACTCAAGAAAAGAATTTCTTCCAGAAATTCTGAAGAATGACTCGGACTCAGTATTATGTAACTTTTTATTTGTGAGTCTACCAGGCTGTAAGTCTTCGAAGAGCAGGGAGGGCATGTCTTACTTGACTAGACTGGCATGCTGTTGGTTCTGACCAGTGGCCTGGGGAATGGAGGCAGTGTCTGGTGGAACTCCAGTGATTCCAAAGGCAAGCTCTCCAGAGGGGTGAAGAATGTGTGGTTGGAAATACAAAAGCACTGACGCCATGTGGAATTTTCTTCCTTACTCCCTTTGCTATTCCTATTTGCATCTTTCACCTGAGCCCTGGTCACCAAGCTCTAGGCAGAAGAAGGAAGAGTTCTGGTAACATTGTGATGTGGCCTTGCACCAGAGGAGAAGCTAAATGACTCGATGAAGATCACATAGACAGCAAGGGGCAGGTCTTCAGGGCTCTGTGTGCCCTCTGAGACAGGAATGGCCACGCACCACTGCTCTGCTTTCGTGCAGGGCCACCCTGACCCAAGACATGTATGGCTGATGTCTTGGAAAACCTTGAAGCCAGAGTCTGAGGAATCCAGTTATTTTCTAGGAACAGGAATAACTGGAGAGACAAGTGGCTCCACCTTTTGTAGTAATTGGGAGTGCCTTCCCTTTGGGTGACTCACTCAGAGAAGTCCCATTAAGTACTTAGGAGTCCTTTTCTCCTTATAAGCTAGTGGTCTTCGAAGAGCTAAGACAAAGCCATACTCAAGTACGCAGCAGAAAGAAGCCCCCTCCCAGGATACTCTCAGGGTGTCTCCTTAGGGACTGCTTCAACACATTATGTCCCTGTGTTTAGGTGCCACAATGCATGAGCCTGTCGCTAAGGTGTGTTCTGTTGTGGCTTCCACCACCTTTACTCTGTAGTTCATGCTCCTCCCTCTCCTAGGAAAGTGTCACTGCTTAAGCCTTGGCTTTTCTTTTTAATTTTTTTAATAATTATTTTATTTAACTTTATTTACGAATTTATTGTTTTTTATTTGTTTGTTTGTTTTGTTTTTGACCAGAGCAGGACAGCGTGAGGGGAAGAGAGAAGAGAGAGAGAGAGAGAAAGCTGCCAGGTCCGGGACTCGAACCATGGTCGGCCATATGGGAGTCCAGCACCCTTAACCACCATGCCACTTGCCGGCCCCCTGCTTAAACCTTTTCTATAGATCAGATTCCAGGATTGTCCCTAAATAGGCCAGACTCCTCTCCTTCCAGGCTTCCTCCCCACTCCCCACTCCCATTTGGCCTCAGGTATTGGGGTGAGAGGTCACTGGGGGTTCCCTGAGCAAGGATCCTTGTTGGTGACCTAGAATGTGAGGAAACACTACTTGCCTCCTGCAGAGTGTCGTCATATATTGAGTCTCCTGACTGCAGCTGCTTCCCTCACAGGGCGCCTGGAATTCCCCAGATTGCAGAGAACAGAGAGTCACTTTTCTGTGTTCTGAGTTTTATGAGGGCGAAATGACGCACAGCTTTAAATGCAGACGGGAGCTATTAAGAGCAGTGAAAGCTTTTAAAATTTTACTTATATATATATTTGCTATCTCATGCCCTTGTGAACATAACAAAATGACAGGTGTCAAAAGTTTGCTGAGGTTCAGGCTTTGGCAGAAGGTGTTTAGAGAGTCCCAGGTGAGAGCGAAGCTGGGGTCAAAGCAGGCAAACCCGAGGTTCTCAGGCAGGCACTTGCTTGGCTGGGAGGGCTGGGTCTGCCTGCCCCCGGGAGGGAAGACAGAATATGCCGGGGAAAGCAGCCGCAGCAGCAATAATAGTAACAGTAATAAAAATAATAATGACCTTCGCTGCCATTTACGGAGCATTTATAATATACTCGGTACTGTACAAAGTCCTTATTAATGTACTTTATCTCATTCAATCCATTATCTCAGAACCTTATGAAGTAAGTACTTTAATCCCTTCTCACAGCGCAGGTTAAGAAATGGAAGTTTAGAGATATGAAACCGAAATGTTAAGAAATGCAATACATATGTGATCTCAGACCCTCTCCTCATTTCCTGGCACACAGCTTCTTAAAACCTCTGGAGGGGCCGGCAGGTGGTGTGGTTAAGGCACTAAATTCCCATATGACTGACCATGGTTTGAGTCCCAGACCTGTTTCATCTTACTTTCCCTCTCTCTCTTTCTCTCTCTCTGGTTAAATTAAAATAAAGAAATAAATAAATGAAATTAAATAAACAATGATTTAAAATAAACCTTCTGGAATATCTGAAGTGACAAGTGCCTGTTTATATACTAATGAATGACTGACACATGGGGACACTTGGGTAGTCTCAGCATGGGGACCATTACCAAGTAGTTATGGCCCAACCCCTAATCTCCAGAGAGGGAAGGGGAGCTTCCTCCCTAAGAGGATCACCACTAGTCAACATGTAACCCATCATATCTACATAATGAAGCCTTCGTAAAAACCCAAGCCTACTGGATCTAGGGAGCTGGACAGCTGAAGACATGGAGGTGCCTGGAAGGTGGGAAGGGAAGGTCCCATGCTCCTTCCATGTACTTTGCTCAATGCGTCTCTTTAATCTGACCAGGCTTGACTTGCATCCTTTTATAATAAACAGAACAAGCTAAATAGTGGTTCCTTGAATTTTGTCAACCATTTTAGCACATAATCACAGTTGAGAAAGGGATTATGGGAATTTCTGATTTAAGGCTGATTGGTCAGGAGCACAGAAGCAGCTGGACTTTACTGGCATCTGAAGTGTGTGTGTTGTGGGGGAGGGCAGGGGCAGTCCTGTGGGACTGAGCCCCTAACCTGTGGGTTCTGATGCTATCCCCTGGTAAGTAGTGTCTGAACCGAGTTTAATGTTAGAGCACTAACTTTAGGTGTCAGAGAATTGCTTGGTACAGAGGGACAAAACCCTACACTCGCTGGTCACAAAAGTACTGTGTTGAGTGAGGGTAGAAAAAAACGAAACAAAACTTTTGGGTTGGTGCCAGCAGGTGGTGTGGTGGTTGGGGGCACTGAATTCCCATATGGCCAACTGCAGTTTGAGTCCCAGACCTGGTGGCCTCCTTTCTCACTTTCTCTCTCTGGTCAAATTTAAATAAATAAAATTAGATGAAATAATTCTTCTTTCAAATAATTCTCACTTTCTCTCTCTGTCCGTCTCTAATCAAAATGAAATAAATAAAGGTAAATAATTTTTTTTTTCTTTTCTGTTAGGGTTAGCGTGTATGCCTAGGGTTACTGTTAGGTCTAGTGTTTGATTTAGGCTTAATGTTAGGTGAGCTTTGTAGTTAGGGAATAGGAAGTAACATTATGGATAGGGTTAGATTTATGCTATTTATTTATTTATTTTGAATAAAATAATTCTTAAAAAAAAAAAAATTCTGGGAACCAGCAGATGGTATAATGGTTACATCGTTGGACTCGCATGTAATCAACCGCAGTTTGAGTCCCCGACCCAGCAGCTTAAATATCATGGCGGGTGTGTGCATGCCCAAAATCCCAAGAGGAGAAAGGAGAAGGGATTGCAGCATACTCATCCCCCTGGTGGGTGATTTCTCGCTTTCTGTCTCTCTGTCTCTCTGGCTAGCATAAGTGCCCTATAGAAAAAAAAATCTCTCAAAAAAAAAATCTTGTTTTTCCTATGCACGAGTAAGTTTTTCCAAAGTCTCAGTTGCTAAGTAAATACCCTGGGCTCCCCACTGGACAGCTGGTTTCAAGTTGTCACTCATCATTAGGCTACTACGAGGTGAGGTGGCCTAGGCTCAACCCCACCGATGGATTTGGATAAGTGGCTTGATTTGATCACCTGTAAAATGGAAATAACAATCCTATTGACACAGGGATGGCAAGGGGTGATTAGGTCTAGCATCTGTAGTCAGACACAGGTTCTTGTCCACAGCTCACCGAGAATTAGGGTTGCGGACATAGTTAAGGAAGAAGAATTTTTTCAGAGAGAGGAGGCAGAGCAGAGCTTCGAAGCAGAGAGTGGGTCCCGAGTGGGTTGCCAAGAAGGAACTGAGGCGAGGGGGTTTTATCTGGATCAGAGATTTGTCCGTGCTAGCTCCCAGGTGGTGGTGCATGCGCTTTCCTGGTGGTGGTGGTGATGGTGTGTGTGTGTGTGTGTGGAGTCATATGCTGGATGGATCCGGTTACTTTTCCTAATTTTGGAGTGGGTATTAAGATCAGGAGACTCTGCTTAAAACTTTGGGCCATAAGACCATTACCTTCTTTCTGGAATGTGGGACCAGAACAGAAGTCTCTGTCCTAAGTCAATCATTAAGTCACTGCTGCAAGCTGTCTCTGTGAGCAAACAGTTCAGCGAAGCTGAGCTAGTGTGTCTTCATCCCCAAAGAGCCAGTTTGTGATTTCATCTTGGGCCTATAGCCTAACTATATTCTAACTAAATCCTGTCTCCTACCTCACATGGGTTCATATAAGGCTTTTATGACGAAGTGGTGGCTCCTGGGCCCAAGAATTCTTACATCATTTAAGCTCATGGTAGAGGTGCCCTTTTGGCTCTGACTGTGACTGGTAGTGGTCAATTTTTACATCCTTTAGGTTGGGGTATGACTGTCCTTGGTGGCTCTGATTGTCCTCTGTCCTTCTGTGTGGCCCTTGTCACTTTGATTATCTTCTGGGGCAGTAATTTCCCATGGAGTCAAACTTATCAGTTTACAGTTTCTATTAGAACTGAATATTTACAATGTCCAATTTAGGACTTGTCTTTCCTTGGGTTTTGACTCCAGTTTTTCTTTTTTTTGTGTGACTTAGGGTTACAATGGCAGGAGGGACAAAGGGCAGGGAGGAATGTAGGTTTCTCTCAGGTGGGAGTGGGCTGGTCAGTTTCAGATCCCATTTCCTTTGCCAATGTTTGTCATGACTCCTCTTCTGCTCTCTATTCTATCTTAGTACCTAGCCAGGGTCTGCCTCGCTATTTACCTAATTTGAGTGTGGTAAGGATGACAAGAGGGAATCCATATATACACGCTTAATATGCAGACCGACATAGAGTAGGAGCTCACTGCATTTTCACTGAACTGGGCTGAGTTCTGCCCCAGGAGAATGCTGGCACACATCCTACCCTTCGCACCTCTAGGCTGGCATTCGAGGTCAGCTTCAGAGGGCAGATTCTCCTTTCAGGGAACTCAGGGCTGGAAAGTCCTGTTGCCCTTGGGACCTGCTGTGTGCACTGGGCTCCCTGCTTCTTAACTCTTTCTTTTCTTCTTAGGCTGAACTTCGGCACACCCAGTTAGACCTGGAGCGGAAACTCAAGCTGAATGAAAATGCCATCGCCAGGCTCCAAACCAACCATAAATCTGTTTTGGTAAGGCTGATCTGGGTCACCTGTCAGACTTCGGCAGACCTGGCTGCTTCCAGGGTCAGCTGGTCCCCTCTGGGGTTGTGGGACATGAGATTGCAGGTCCATAGGCTCCTTGGGGTTTTACAGCAAATGAGAACCGTAGACAGAGTTGGCTCTACCATGAAGTATCCTTATCTTGAGATTGTGATTTATTATGAAATTAATTTAAATTTTAAAGCTGGCAAGCAATTTACTATTTAACGATAGAGTAGAAGCAAGACTAGTCCTGTAATAACAGCATCCTTATTTTTTTCATTTTCATTTGCTTTTCTGACCCGGAGAAAAGGAGGTGCTCTTTAATTTTCAGGCACTTTGATCCCTACACAGTTCTCATAATTGCATGGCGATTGGAAAAGGTAGTTATTACAATGGCTGGAGAGGAGAGGAGGTGTTAGCTAGAGCTCCAGGAATTACAAATAATCTTAGTTTCTTCCATCCTAGGAGTCTGCTCTGCCTGTGAATTTCACCAGTCCTGTGTCCTGGTGTCTTGGCAGCTGGAAAAAAGAGTTGAGAACTGCTGGGTCAATGGATGATGTTTGATAAGGACAAAGCTGTGCCTTAGTCTCTCATTTGTGACTTTACAAGTCACTCTAAGCAGACCCAAGCGGTTCCACAAGTGCCTCTCATTAACGGCAAGCTAATAACTACCACTTAGAAGAGAATGCAAATCACCTCTCTTATAGCAATGAGTCAGTAGTACCCAAAATAAATTATACCATCCACTCATCCATCCATCTATCCATATCTAACATGAATCTATTTCAACTAATTCCCTTCCGGGTGTTTATAACTAACTAGCTCCTGAGGGATGAATATCTTTTTAACCCATGATATTTTCTCAGGGGAAGAAAAATGATAATCCCTTTAAAGCCTTAACACTTTCAGAGAGAGTTGATTTCCAGGCTCAAGACAACCTGGAGAACCACAGGGTCCACCTTGTGTTTTTCCAGCTCTAATTTTCAGGTATTTTTCTCCCTATTCAGTTCTTCTCATAATTACAAATAGACCAGGAATGGCAGTTATTACAAAGACTGCTGTGTATAACAGGCAAGAAGACAGAAGGAGATGACAAGACTTATCTAGGGCCTCCTAGATGGATGGAGCAGGAGAACCTGGGATTGTTGTTCCTTTGATTGAAGAATGACTCAGTGTGTTGACAGGCTATGCACTATCCTTAACCTCTTTAAATTATTATTATTATTATTAAAGTTGAGAATGTTTCCAATCCCTCTCTCTCTCTCTTTCTTTCTTTCTTTCTTTCTTTCTTTCTTTTTCTTTCTTTTTGAGAAGTTTTTGCTATAGAGAGTGTGCGCTCGCCAGAAACACAGAGAGAGACAGAGAGACAGAAAGTGAGAAATCACTCCCCCAGGGGGGATGGCCACACTGCAATCCTCTCTCCTTCATTCTCCTCTCAGGATCTTGCACACACACACACACACACACACACGCACACGCACGCCTGGCATGAGTTTAAGCCACTGGTCCGGGACTCGAACCGCGGTCGACTACATGGGAGTCCAGCGACATAGCCATTATGCCAACTGCTGGCCCCTAACCTCTTTAAATTATTAACGGTTAGCTCCTTTGATGTACTTGTAGTCCTTCCTCTCTGTGCTTATCATTTGGGCAGTAAGTGATGTCCTTCACACATCTGAATGGATTCAGATGTGAGAAAGAAATATTTCTCAATAGGAAGGTTTAGGAATGGTGGCCATGGCAGGAGTCAATCCACCAACGTCAGCTGAAACTTTCCTTCCATTATCCTTCCTCAGGGAAGCTTCACTGAGGGTGGGATGGGCATGTAGATCCTGAATTTGATCTGTAGACTCGTGCCTCTCAGACTCACGGTATCATTCATGCAGAGGATCCTACGTGTCATAATTATAGAGGATAAATTCAGCTCCTGCCTCACGATACTCTCATGCTCGTTTCCATGCCTTGTCCTGCTCCTGCTCTCTGAAGGTGACAGGAGTGGCAGGGCAGGGATTACCCAGCAGCCTCTGTGACTCATGGAACCTGGACACCTGCAGCCTGAGTAGATAGGGAAGGGTGAGTAAGCCAGGGAGCTAGGACATGTTACATAATACAGAGCCCAGATAAAACACTAACGGCCATAGTTACCCCCAAATGGTTATAAAAACTCACCAGTCTTCTCCCCTCCATTTCTCCATCTTCACTTCCTTGCAATATGGAAATATAGTTTGACATTTAGGTTTGAATCCAGCTATGATGGTTTCAAAATTCATGGCCTCACAACGACAAGGAGATGGGGTCTGTAAACCATTGTTTAAGAGTTGCTGAGGAGGTGGACATCTTGTTCTTTCGGTTGCCTGCTAACGGCAGCAGCCTGTGTATTTCACCCATTGTGGATGTAGGTAGTGGCCTTAACTGGTGCCCTTATGGGCCAAGGGCTAAGTCCAGTCTCTCTGCTTGTCCTGGAAGGGCTTCTGTTGCATGGGCTGAGCTCTAAGGTCCTTTTTTCTGCAGCTCCCACAGGGCTACTGCCTGGGGTGAAAACTACCCACTTACCTCCCTGACTGGTCCTGAAGAATGTGCCGATGTCCACAGCCTAGGTTGTACCTTACGTTGCTGTACTGCAGCCACAGGGGATACCCTCCCCGGGGCCTACAGTGAGGCTATGTGGGCTCGAGGTCCCAGGGATGGCTCTGGAGACAAACTACCTGGTTCAGACGCTAGCTGTGTGATCGTGGGAAATTGCTTAATTATTAGCATCTCAGTTTCCTTATCTAAGAAACAGGGACTATAATGGCACCCACCTTTTAGGAATGCTGAGTGAATGCAAGTGAGGCGTGTAGAACAGCGCCTGCACATAGTAGGAACTTACTACGCATTGGTTGTTATTCTGATTCCTATTTATGTAATTTAAAAAGTGATCAAAGTGACCAAGCAGGCAGCAGAAGGTCCCCATTCCAGTGTAGATAGGAGGAGGAGTGAGGCAAAGGGTCCGAGGGCTG